CCTGTGTGGTGACCCGCGACCATGGAGATATAAACAGGTTTTTATAAGGTAAAAATAATAAAACAAGGTCTTTGTCTGCAATGATTAGACATGTTTTTTATTATTGTCATTAGTGATTATCTCAATTTCTGCTAAAAGAATTGACAAAATCCTACACACTGTGCCTTTAATACCTTTGAGATTTTATTACTTAGTCAAAAATGACAGCGATACACTTTGGCAACAATTGTTGCCAGTGGGGCAAAATGGGTTAATTATTTTAGGAACGTAATGACTGGTTTGAATCGAGAGGAGGTTTTCAATTTCTTCTGTCTTAAGATTTGGAGCTATTCAAAAAGAATCAGAAACTACAACCCTGAATGTTCAGGGCTAACTTAAAAAGATAAACATCAAATCTGCTACTTTGTATCTCTAAAGTGTACGCCAGTATAAACCCGGGGACAGTTTCTACAGTGGGTACAAAGTGGGCGGAGCTGTACAACAAAACAATGTACACTTTTACAAGCTGGGCACATGAAAATAGGTTATTGATTTTCAAAAATGAACACGTAAAGCACAGTTCTACAGGTCACTCAGTCCCAAACATTCAGGGCTCAATGAGGCTGCAGCTGAAGAAGCACATTTAACTCTCCAGTTTTTGTGAGTGACCAACAGCTGCAGCCAAGTGAGACTGTTTTCACTGATTACTGCAGCCTTACAATACAGAAAAAAATGTGTTTTTGGTGGTTGATTATACTTAATTTCATTAGTTCCTATTTGTTTAAATTTGTATTGTATTTATTGTTATCCTTTTATGAAATGCCTAGCTTTTGTTGTAATTCCATTAATGAATATCTTTCACTTTTCTGTAATTCTTCCTAATGCATTTTTTTTTGACTGTCAGAGCTTTTACTCGGTGCTGCATATACCTTGCGGTAAAAAGAAGCAGGTTTCTGGTTTGGGCACAATATTTTCCTTTTAACTTCCTTCATAGCATCTTCACATGCGTCACGTGTACACTTGAAACTCCCCTTTCTTCACAGCCTGCTTAGTTTGACAAGAGTGCAAGTGTTTCCTTTTCTTAAAGCACGTTTCTTAATGGGAACCTTACTCAGGTTGCAGACATGTTGCTGCAGGGTCTTGTTCCAGCGTTGTATGTTGTCAGTGCTGCACGAAGTAACTGTGTAGTTGATATTATTTCCTTGAAGAGGTGTACTGATGAATATATGTTGGCCATGGACCGGCTCAGCCTCAGACACACCGACTCTGGTATCCTGACAAAAAATAAATAAATAAATCTTTGGTGAAAAAGTTCTTTTAAGGGTTTTCTGTAGAAACACTGACATGTAGTTTACAGTAAGGTCAGAGCTGAAACATAAAATAGTTTACAGTTTTGTGGATAAAAGAATGATCATACTTATTTGTCTGAACACATCCTTAGAAAAACAAAGCATTGTCTCATTCTTTAAGTGTGAGTGACATGTAAGGTTTTACAGGAAAAAAACAGATCGGCTGTGTCAAAACCACTTTTAGTCAGCAACAAGTGTTTTTACCGAAACTCACGAGAAATTTATAACTGAAGTGAAGCAGACACTATGGTGATTATGGTATTTAAGGGGAGAAAAAAATGCAAAAAAGCGTTGTTTCTTAGGCTTTAACAATGCACTGTGTCCTCAGAGCTTAGCAAACAGGTTGTTCCGGTCTGTGATTGGTGACGGGAAACAGATTTCTTTTGTTTGATGAGTAACCTTTTATTCAACCTGACAGCATTCAGAAACTATTCTCTGAAAAGAAAGTCTACCTCGTGAAAGCATCCATGAAAGAAACAAAATGCAATATTAATTATAGAGGATCAACAATTTTGTGTGAAATCATAACAAAATGTGCTGTATCGCAGTTTTGATCTATTAGTACAGCTTTAAAGGCATGTTGGATACTCAGATACATAACTCTGATAACCAAGATACTAGTTTAGGACTTTGCAATCCTAAAAAAATGCACTTTATATGGAGTTCCATTAGTGCCAAAAATATGTATTTCTGTCTTCTGTTATGTGTATATGTTATATTTACATATCGCCTAACATATACACATAACATATCACCTTACATATACACATATATGACATAACATATCACTTAGCATATCACCTTACATATCCCAATACATAAACATCTTACCCCTAATTTACACTACATGCGTTCTGTCTCCGCTCCGCTCCGGTCCGACCTCCGCAGCAAACACACACCCATTATAATCATTGAGAGTGTTTACACTGGCTGCACACGGCGGTGCAGGGCGGCGGTGAACGGACGGCGATCCGTCAAAATTAGAACAGATCCTATTTTTGCTGGACGACAGAGCTGCGCCGGAGTCAATATTTAAAGATTACGTCGCGCCAACAGGAAAAGAAACGAGCACAACATCCGTATTTTCAAAATAAGACACTTTTAGGCTGGATAATTTGACGGAATAATGTCTAAATTGCAGCTATATTAATAAATATACTGATATATTTCTACACAGATGCTGTCAGAATGTATGGTTCTGTTTGGGAAGCAGATGGAAACATGTAGCATGAAGCATATGTGTACACACACGATACACGTGGATTTTATTTTGAAATCAGAACTTTCAGAAAGCCGACAGCGAGACAGTTTCAACCATAGATATCAAAAGCCTTTATATTGTTGTTTTCAGCTGTGTTTGGAGTTCATCTTTCACAGAATTAATTATTTTTTGCTGTGACTTCCACACTTATCACTGAATTTATCAGGCGATCTCCTTCCTACACGTCTGTCGGAGCGGAGGCTGTATAAATTGGGACACAAACTAACAGCTGCAACCTATGCAGCGGAGCGGAGACGCATGTAGTATAAATCCAGGATTACATAGACAGAAATACATATTTTTGGCACTAATGTAACTCCATACTTCCACATGCTGCCTTCAATGTAAGAACTTTAGACTGATTTTTATTCTAAGAAATAGAGTCATAGCTGTTTGATCAAACAATAACATTACGCAGACTCATGTGAGTCTGTGGTGTGAATCATTCTCAGCTACTGCAAAGATCTGGAAATGTGACTTTGTTATTGCCAATTTTACATTAGCTAATGTGTGTTAGCTGTAGCAGCAATCCTCAACTGGATTGGCTCCAAAGGTTAATCAGCTGTAGAGGTACAGCCCAATGAATATTTCCTTTCTGGGAGTTTTGTTTAGGTAACAGATGCACACAGGGTTGATTTCAACAGTTAATGCTAAAGATCCCATGTAACAAGTAATAATAATAATAATATTAATAATAATAAGTTTCACTTTGGAACAGTGTAATTTTCTGGGGAAAAAGAATTAAAATGTGCAAAATTATTAAAATATATATACATATATAGAAGACAATAGAGATAAGAAGAAGGAGGACCAGAAAATTATTAGGAAATATACAAATTCTCCATTATCGCCAAAATATACTTTCACATAGGGTTATTATACCATATAGCCTGACTAATTTAAATTAACATTATGGGGAAGCAGCAAAGTAAGGA